GGGGGATCCTCGTGTAACGGGCCCAAAATGTTTTTTGGGAATTTTGAAAAAAGATACTGTTGCTCCGCGGTAAAAACTCAATACTCCCGTTATTGCACTGTAAATCACAGTATGATACTGACTGCACATTTTCTGTGATACAGATATATTGCACGATGTTGTGATGATCATCGCAAAAAGAGTACAAGATTAAATTCATTGCTTACATTTGTGATAACAATCACGTATTTGAGCGATAGTTCGAGGTATCATAGTTTTGTGCTATGTGCATTACACTGTTTTGCAATAAATCCAGAATTATCGCATTATTTTGCAATAAGTATCACACAATATTTGTGATAAAAATCCACCACTCCCCCAGGAGTGATAAATCAAGGGAATCACACCGGGCATTTTATCACACGAAAATGTGTGAAAAGTATCACACTTTGAATTACAGTGTGTGTACTACTTTTAACAATAAAAAAGGAGAGTGTTGCCAATACGCTCCGGGGTCTGCAGATACAGCAGGCCGAAGATGGCGCTTCGCGCCTGCAGTGGCGTGACGGTGTACACGATTGTGCCCAAACAAATTGACCGACAGATACCTATGGGATTTTTTATGAATGTGTGTCACACATGTCGCTCTCGTCCCTACCTCGGACTCCGATGTCAGTTGAGCACTTTACTGAGAAAAAAATATAAACTAGAAGTCTGTTTTACGTTTTTTCAGGAGTTGAGGTTCAAACGTGGTAAAAAAATACACAATCTTTTTTCTCAGAGTACGACGAGGTAGGGACGATTCCCAGTTTCCTCCTGAGCGATGGGGCAAGTACTCCGTGTATGTGTACACCTGTCTAGGAGTCATCAGTATCAAATTTCATCGGAATCGACAGAAATTGCCTAAACCGGCTTAAACTTAGCGAGAAACTAGTGGAACTGGTACCAATATGTCGAAATAAGCGTTTTCTACCACTAGAAAACTTAAGGAATACATATAAGCGGACGGGAATCACTGGGAATCAAGTATTTCGGGAATTATGTGTACACTTTGAAAGATAGTTATTGATTGCCCCCTCGCTCCTGAGTCTAAAAGTAGTTTGGGCGACTGTGTCAGACAAACGGTTCGGCCTGAATCGTGCACACCACCACGCCACTTCAGGCGCGTGGCGCCATCTTCGGCGTGTTGTATATGCAGACCCCAAGGGGTATTAGCAACACCCGGAAAATAATTCGACGGTAGATTTCCTATAAATGTATCTGCAGCATTTCACATATACATGTATAGGTTATGTTAATCTTATCTACCCTAATTTTTTTCCCCCACCTAACCTAATTTTTTTTCAAAATGGTTCCTTTTTTACGCTTAACCTTACCTTTTCAAAATGTTTTCGTGCAGGTTCCTAACATAAACCTAATTTTTGAGGGGGTGTCTTTTGAGTGCCTAACCTAATATTAAAGCAAAGACGTTTTCGGCACGAATATCAAGATGTGTTGATGAGAACTGTGTGTGGCGTAGCAAAGTGATGATCCCTCCGCTCCGGCAGCGAGCTAGGGTGGCCCCAAAAAAACCCGAAGTTTCTGGAAAAGGCACTGCTCATCAAAATTGGATAGTACTGTAGAACGAAAATGAGAGTATACGTATGTTTTCCTTTTGTCGAGAAACCATTTCAAGGTCTAGCGCTAGTCGATGTTTACCAAACTGGACTTATCAACAACTCTCTTCTCTCCCATTAACCCCTACCCCCAGCCCTCTCCATCCCCTCAACCTGTGCGTTTCTGTTTGTTTTCTGTCTGTTTGCACCTCTAAAATTAAAGGTCCATTTTCATGGCACAAATTTACCTTGTCTTTCTCGGTTACGATGTCGCACATTTCTTCCAGGTTGGTACCTTTGAGCATAACTTCTTTGGTTTTGTGGTTGGGTGGATTGAAAATAGTGGCAAGATCAATTTTTACAGCTCCCTTTTCAAACTCTTCAACTTCTTCTAATAATAATTCTCCTTCCTCGAATTGGTAACTTTGGGTAACAGTGATTGTTGTATGATCTTCAGAGAGGGGGAATGCAAATACTTTTCCCAGTCTAAGATTATCTATTCCAACCACTATATCTCCATCTTCTTCCTTGTCATCGTTTCTTCTTTCTTCTTGATATTCTTGATCATTTAACTGATTTACCTTTTGTTTTTCTTGGTTTAAACACATTCTTTGACGGTGGCCTATCTTGTGGCACAGTGCGCATTCCCATGTTTTCACTGTACAAGAATTGGGGTTGTGAAACTGGCCACATCTCCAGCATTGTCCATGTCCAGGTGGAAGCTTCCACCTGTTTGGGCCTCCCCCTGAATTGGAATGATTTGGCTGCGATTTTCCTTCTCTAGGGGACCCACCTTGGTAGTTTGAACGGTAACTCTTCTTTTCTTGATAGCGGTCGTTTTTGAAGTGCTTATCTTCGCCTTTGTTTCCTACGACCAGTTTGTTAACAGTGTTAACCACTGGTTTATCTGGTTCCAGCGATTCCAGCCTTTGAGCAAATGCTACGGCTTCATCGAAAGTTGGTGGTGCTTCTTTCCTCAACTCCCACTTTAGTAAATCAGAACGAACACCACTTAACAGCTTTATCTTCTTAGCGGTTTCACTGTAAGCACCAAATCTGCAGTCACGGGCAAGTTTCGTAATGGCTAAAACGAAATCGTCTAAGGACTCGCCTTCCTTCTGTACTCTTTGATCAAACCTCATTTGGGCAGTTGTTGGGTCAATCCTATGTTGATATAGTTCTCTAAACTTCTCCAGTATTTGCTTGATATGTAGATCGTTTAAGTTTTCTACTTCAGAATATCATTTATTCTTGAGGGCAGAGTGAACTGGACCTCCATTAAGAGATAAGAAGTTGGCCCTCTTCCTGATGAGATACGCGTTCATGAGATCGCCGTACTGAGCTGCTCGGTGTTGGTGCATCATAAGCAATTGTTGGTACTGGGCTATTGCAGTTCTATATGCGTCTTGCTCTGCTTGTGACGCTCCAGCTTCAGGTGGTTGTAGGTTAGGTGGCTCTGGTGCTTAACCTATTGGTCTTGGTGGCACGATCATCATTTGGATACAAACTTGTTCGAAACGGTCAATATAATCTTCAACATCGTGTGTTTCTTTGTTGAACTGCTCTAAGAGTCCTGGGAAAACCATGTTTCCCATAAATGCAGCCATCATGAACGTGAACCTGCGTGGTCTTGAGTGTTGGATACGGCAACTGGATAATCCTAGGTTTTGAGTCGTCTTGTTCGAAGTTAGATCACCATCCTCGATCGCCACTGATATGTATGTTCATTGAACTAGGTTTTCTTGCGAAGGGTTGGGCCGATTTAAACAGGCACGATATGATCACTTGATTTATTTGACAAGAACTAAAAACTGGAACCGGAAGTGGTAAACTTCCAGACAAAAGACAACATACCATTATTCACAGGTGCATGGATACACATCAAGATATACTCCTCTGTTGCATGAATACCACTGCGTGCAATCCATATGCGCACGCACGCGAACGCACGCGCACGCGCGCCCACACGCACACACGCGTGCACATGCATGCCTGCTCTGCTACCCTTCACTAGCCTGTATGAAGTGAATGCTATCATTTGGCAACGGCAAAGGAAACCCCCCTATTGGTTTGTTGCTCAGGAGCAACAGCCCCGCACAGTGGGCGATTGGACCCCTTTTCGTGCTCATAAATCGGAATTTTCAATGTCATAATTAAAAGTTCCGAATAGTGGATTCTTGTTTGGAAAGAGGTAAAGTATGACAGGGAATTTTAGATTTGGCTCAACCCGCCGCGTTCGACCAGTATAGGCATCGAAAGGCGGAAAACGGGGTAAAAACATCGGCAGTGGCAAATTTTTCATTTATTATTTTCGAGATGTTAATGTAAACTGTCGGGGACTTCGTCAACGGGTTTCTTCTCGAAAAAGAAGGAACTTAATAGGAAAATTAGGACATGAATTTTTTGAAGACATTTTAATGGTGTTTTGGGGGTAAATATACTAAATTTCATAGAAAGTTGAAGTTTTGATTCGAGATTCCGCAACATTCCACGGTGTTTCTGGCAAAAACTTATACTTTGATATGTCCTGTAACTGGCGGCACCCGAATCTCGCCAATTTGAGATAAAAATAGTTAAAGACATTAAATGCACAAAAACTGACCGAAACGTTGATATGCGGCGCATGTCGTAATTTTCCTTTTAAGTTCCTTTTTTTTTCGAGAAGAAACCCGTTGTCGAAGTCCCCGAAAGTTTACATTGACATCTAGAAAATAATAAATGAAAAATTTGCCACTGCCGATGTTTTAACCCCGTTTTTCGCCTTTCGATGCCTGTACTGGTCGAACGCGGCGGGTTGAGCCAAATCTAAAATTCCCTGTCATACTTTACCCCTTCCCAAACAAGAATCCACTCCGGAACTTTTAATTAGGACATTGAAAAATCCGATTTTTAATAAGCGATTGTGATGTTTGTTGGTCGAAACGAATATGAAAATCTTATTTTTAGAGCTTGCAAAGTTTGAGAAATGTATGCTGAGGGGAAACAAAAGTGATCGCTTACGTGTTGAAGAGAGTGGTTGTTGGGGGTAGGGGCAGATGACAAGGTCAGTGAAAATTGAAATCTAACTACTGATTCTG